GATAGTTAAAATTAAAAGATACAAATCTATCAAATATAAAACAAGCAGCTACACACATAGGAAATTTCCTTAAAACTTCACAAATAGCAATATTTTAAAAGTGTAAGCGCTATATTGAGAAACCCCTAAATTGGGTGATCTACATATAGAACATGAAATAAAAACAACCGCATATGCACTATTATAATTGGTGAAAAACAACCTTATAAATAATCAATCGCGCATAGGTTGCAGTCTCTGTTATTTCAAAAGACATTTTAAATGCTGAAAAGTCCAAGAGGCTTTGGGTAACAATTATGTAGGGTTAATCTTGCCACACAGTTGGGTCCAGCTTCTTGTAATACTCTGCATACCACAGTGATTGCCGTATCTTAAAAAGATACAAAAAAAGGACCACATAGCGTAAATGAACAAAACAAATAGAGCTATGTAAACCAAATTCCAATACTGGGATAGGAACACAGAGGTCAGTATGGTGGTACCAGATCCACCAAATTGTCTTGAACCCAGAACAATAAATGTAAGTAAAAAATGAATGCACCCCAATAAAGGGGTAACACTGTATTTATTTGTAACAAAACAAGACACCCTCTCCCCCAAAGGAATCCTTACATCAGCATATTGTGGTACTCGTTTCCAAGATACCACAATCAAACGTAGGTATATAAAAGATAGCATAAGCTTTACCGCCCCGTCGTCCAGTTCGTATAAACTTCAGCTAGATCTCCAAGTGATGGTAAGCCAAGTGATGGTACTGTAAGAATGCTGGAACTGCCGCTACAGGCAAAATGCATTTGAAGCTGGTAGGTCTTAGCGAACACCATCTATGGGCTAAGTTTGAGAAGTGCCTGTTCCACCATACTACTATATCATTCCTAGGATACACAATTTCTACCCAGAACATTCAGATGGATCAGTCAAAGATCAATACCATATTAAATTGGCCCTCTCCACTAGCCCATTATGGAACAGGAACCCGTCGCAACTAAGACTTTACACGAACACTGGAGGCATTTACTAGAAGGTAACCCACATCCTCTCTACTCTGAGCGAAACAATTTGGAACAGTAAAACCCTCTCAACTTGACAGGTCAGATAGAGTTTGCTTTTTTAAAATATTCTTTATTTATAGAGTTTTACTTTTTTGAAGACATAGTTACAATTGAAACAATGTTGTAGTAACAATAAAAAGAATACACTTCATCAAGTGGAATATAAACATAATGCTTGTATGCATTAGGGTGCATCAAAAGAGAATTGAATACAGAAAAGCAAAGCATAAAGGCATATTAAATTAATATGAGCAATAAATTCAACAGTTTGTAGTGCACCAGTTTGTAGGTGGATTTAGGTGGTATGAGAGGATCATGCTGGTAATACCAAGATATCTCTCTTCAGTCTGTGAGCATACCTTTGTGACTGGCAATTGTGCTATAGGGAGCACTCGTAATATATGTAGACAGCTTTTCATGAGTAGGTGTGATGATTGCCCCACAAACACAATTCTCAAGGAGCAGTAAAAAATAGTTTTTGTTTTTTTTAATGCTTCAATCTTCATAACAATCGAAAAGCTGGCCCATTATCCCATCACTTGATTCTTGATACCACAGAATATGCACCTACTTAAATCATACCAGAAATTAAATTCCTGGGCTTCACCTCCTTCTTCATGCACAGGTTGCAAGAAAATCTTGAGAAAACTTCTATAAGGCATACATAATATATCGATAGATCAACCAAATTAGGAAATCTATAACTAAAAGGGCTTTCGTGCGCTTGTCTGTTCGTGCATTTGGACGCACAAATGGACATTTGAATTGATACTCGTTTGGATCCGTAGAAGGGGCGGTACTTCTGCGTTCCAGACGCCCCTTTTGCGTGTCAACTAACCGGAAATTATCTTTCTGTGCTCCTACTAGCGTTTACACAATGCAATCTTTATTTCTTTTTTGTTTATTTATGTTTAATTTTTACTTTCTTCATTGTGGTCTCACATAGGGGTAAGTTATAGATTGCCTAATTTGGTGGATCTATAGATATATTATTCATGAATTATACTGGTTTGTATCTATCAATGTGTGTTAATGATTTGCACTTAAGTGAATTATTTAATTTCTTGTGGTATTTTTTGCCATATATGCACTTGTGTTTGGTTTGTGGTGTTAGCTTGACAAAGACCTCTGTGAAGGTCGAAACGTTGCTGCTCTTTTGGCTCCATTAAAATCTGCCTGCGGCTTTCACACTTGAGTGCCTGGATACTTTTGCTGTATATCAGGTGAAAAACCCTTTACCAGCCTTTAGCATTAATATCCGTTTGTAAGTCAATAATGAAAATTGCATCTCATGTTTGTTGCTCTCACCTAGTATCATGGAAGAGCCCTTGAGGTAAGGTGAGCTCCTCGATTACTGGGTTTGATAATTAATTGCAATTTTTAAATCAACAGAGGCCCAACTTAGCTATTATCCATCAGGTAGTGTGCGAATTAATGGAATTACATTTATTACAATAATAATCTTATTTTCACCTATACCAATATGGCTTTAATTTGTCTCTGTGACGAGACCAATCTCGCCACTGTGCATTGGAGGAGCCTGGTTGCCTGCCTGCTGCCTTTTGACTATGGACCGGCATTTAAATACTTTATTTTCCTATGCAGAAAGGTCTATTCATGTATTTCTGCCATGGCGTTCGGTATTTACTGCATGAACTCATTTAACCCAGATAGCTATGCCATGGAGCCTATTTGTGTAATAAAAGACTTTGGCTCCATGGCAATTGAACTGTATGTGTGTTGTCTGAGCGCCATTCAGTAATAATGTGCGCTCAGACCTAAGCTATCTGGGGATATGTTGCATGTCTGTATTTTATGTAATAAATGTAACCTTGTGTATTTTATTGTATTTTACTGTCTTTTTACTGCCATGTGCTTAATGGAGTTTTGCCTCTGTCCTTGGAGATAATTGGATTACTTCCCAATTATCTCCAGGATAGAAGACTCTGTGGAACTGGTTTTGGGCAGAAAAGCTATGCTTCCTTTGGTCACAAAGGACTTTGATCTATCTTTTGAACCAATGGACCAATTTGGATGATTTTGACATATGTTTGTATTTGGAGTATGCTGATTCTGAAAATGTAAGTGAATGTGATGCATACTTTTAAAATTATGAATAATGTGGAAAAACTTTATTTCTCTGCCTGTGATAATTACATTACCCATTGTGTAAGGTAATTGTAGGGGAGGAGAGGATTTTGTGTGGGAGTGTCTGAGTGTATTGTACATGTTTATTGGTTGTTTTCCAAAACCCTGTGGGTGGTACTAATGTGTAAGAATGTGTATATAAGAACAATAAACCCACAGCTCTGTCTGTTCCTGCTTGACCCTCAAAACGGAGCCTTGTCTCGTTCTTGGGGGGATTTATTGTATGCTGTTTCACTCTGACTGCTAGCAGTGTAAACCTATTCGTAATGTTTTCCTATTCAGCTGTTTACAGCATTCGTATGGTTCCGGTTCGGCTGTTTATGGCATTCATATGCTTCTCTAGTTCGGTGGATTGGTGTCTGCAGTAGCTGCCTTTATATCTGGAAGGGGAATATCCTCTAAACAGCGTTTAAACCCTTTTATGCCCGGGGTGCTGTTACAGTCTCTATTGTTATTTGCTATTTATATTGAACTTTTGGCATCAGTAATAACAGTGATGTGAATATCATCAAGAAATAGGCCACTCCTATTTGTGACGAGTGAAGAGCCACTCCTCAGAATACAAAATCAGCCTGTTTCTAGATGATATTCCATATTCTATTACACAACCAAATGTATCACTCCCTTGTATATACAGAGTTTTCATGAATGTCTGGTTATAAGCTCAATCTACAGACGTCTGAGGGATTGAATGTGTCTATTGAGATAGATTAATTCTTGAATTTATTAGCATATTCATTTTATTTATAGGGAACATCTGGTTGTATGGATTACCACAGAGAAAAATGTTTCCACTTCCCAAGAGTTTATATGCCTATAATTATCCACCACTCATCAAAACTTACACAGCCTTCCATCTCACTGAATTCTGTTCAATATTTCACTGGTGGGATATATTACTACTAGAGTTGAGCGGACACCTGGATGTTTGGGTCTGGCGGGTTCGGCCGAACTTTGAAAAAAAGTCCGGGTGCGGGCTCGAACTTGACCCCGAACCCCATTGAAGTCAATGGGGATCCGAACTTTTGGGCACAAAAATGCCTCTGAAAAACTCCTGTAGAGGGCTACAGAGCTGCAAAAGGAAGTAAAATGGGGGTAAGAGTAGGACAAGTGCCCTGCAAACAAATGTGGATAGGGAAATCACTTAAAATAACACAAAAATGAAAAATACAGCTGAGCCATAAAATAGCACTAGATGGAATCTTTGATTTTAGCTTTGGAATAACATAAATCAAAAACTAAAGCATGGCTGTCAGGTGGATCAACAGAATTATCCATTTGAGAGAGGGTTGGAGTGCAGGGCATTCTCTTTCATTGTTCAAACTGAGCTTAACTCCTGATGCATGGAGAAAAGGCATTCACAAGCCTCTGCTATTGTGTACATAGTTTATACCTAGTGACCCATAGGTTGAGAAGGCGGTGACCGTGGCAGTGTAGGTGGAAGCAGCGGTGGGGGAGGAGGAGGAAGCCAATACTGTTTTTTATATATATATTTTTTTATTTTAATTGGGGTAGCCTCCAAAATATTGGGACATATAAAAAAAAAAAAACTGCTCCGCAGAGCGACTGACTCATGCGTGCTGCATCTGAAATGCACAGTATCATGAGGTGGTGAGTGGGAAGGCCGAAGTTATGCTGCAGCGCAGAAAGGCGAGCAGCAGCAGGGAGAGAACACCAACAGCGCGCACAGACAGCCAGCACTTTCTGCAGCAGCTCTGATATATCTGGGTATACACCGTGGCATCACAAGGGCCACCCAGAACTGGCTCAACTCCCATCAAGCCAAGTTCCCGGAGGAGATCGCCCAGCTCGTCATGCTAGAGCACTTTTACAATATGCTCCCCAACGAGAAGGCGACGATATGGATGTCAATCTATATCAACTTTCGATGCCATTGACTGCGCTTACCATGCTGACCACGGGTAATGGGGAGTCAGGGTTCGATTATGCACAGGGACCCTGACAAACGGCTACCACATGCAAGGAAGGCAGCAGAAGTGCAAATGACCCACTCCCGACTCGGGAAGGTAGTGACGACAAATAACAATACAGGACACTTTAGAGGCCCTGTAATTGTAATGAGTCCACTTCAAATCCTTTAACTCTGATAAATTGGAGGGAAGTCTGGTGCAGAGCCACTGACCCATGCGTGCTGCAGCTGAAACTCCACTATCGCCTGCTGCTGCTCAAACAGTCTCTCCAGCATGGGCAAGGTGGAGGTGAAGGCCAACGTTACTCTGCAGCGAAGACAGGCGAGCAGCAGCAGGGTGAGAACGCCGAAAGCGCGCACAGCCCCTACAGTGAATGTCATATCCTGTTCCAAGTTGCAGATCAGTCTGGTGATGGCTTCTGGTATCCAGTACTCTTTTTACTGAAGCTGCATCAGGGTCCTGGTATGTGGCCGCACAAATGCTGGTGCGTAACACCAGGGGGCATGCGGTTACCCTGCACCAGACCCTGCTAATCCACTCCACACTGTGATTTCTAACTTCTATATCAGGCATACTGGTTCCCGGTCGTCCGACCGCCACCCAGACAGTGTCTGGGTCCTGGTCACCAGACTGCGAAACTGCCTCGATTTAATGGCTTGTTAAATCTGTTATGGTTCTTTTTTGCTTCAACTGCTACTCGGATAACTGTGGAAATTCTAAAGATAATACATGCCAACGTGTGCTAGGGGACGGCCGCTCCGCTTTTGCACCCTGCTCCCTCCTATGCTGTGCTGGTGCTTCTGTGCGACCTGCGCCTCTACCTCAAAACTGCACACATCACTCGCATGACCTTGATTCCATGTGGGGTCTAGAACCTCATCATCCTCCACATCATCTTCCACCCACTCCTCAACCCTGCCCTCCTTACCGGTATGCACACTGCAGAAAGCCACAGCAGTTGGCACCTGTGTCTTTCCAGCATGTAAAGTCTGCAAAGGACATATGGAAATTGTTTTAGAATTGTATCCAGGCAACAGTTTTCCCTATAAACTGACCTCTCAGTTTGATTTGTGAGGGTATTGCCCCAGAATTACATTATTGTTTAAGTACCTCTTAGCTATTGATAACTGGTCTAAATATAGCAGTTTGTTATCTGGTAGTTTCTAGTGTAGAAAATATAAATCTGTTTTCTATCACTTAGATCTGTGTAACAAGTGTTGTAGGTGTGAAACACCCCACTAATGTTCTATCCCACTAATGTACTATTTAGCACCAAAAAAAAAAATGGACTTTTTAAACCTCCGATGTAACCCCGGTATTTGAAGCTTCTATTTGACTCTCAGATATGAAGTGCACCCCACTAATGTACTAGTTTGCAGAATTCTTAAGCTGTCCCTCACAGCTGCAGCATCCTCTCCCTACACTAACAAGAGCTCATGTGCGTGCGGCGCTACGTGACTCCAGCTTATATATAGAGCCTGGGTCACATGCTGCACTGGCCAATCACAACCATGCCATTAGTAGGCATGGCTGTGATGGCTTCTAAGGGCACACGAGTCAAACTGCAGCCTTTGAAAACGCGCCATTAAGTAGCCGAACACCGAACTCCAACCCGTACATACAGTGATATGTCAGTAAAACCGTAATGTTCGGTACGAACCCGAACTTTACAGTCCGGGTTCGCTCAACTCTAGTCACTACCAAATATTTTTTTTTATCTATTCTGGGAAATACTAATAGTTATGGATATTTTTATGACGTTAGAGACATATGCTTAGGTTTGTCTGGTCTGGAAAAAGGAATAGATTATCCATCAATATTGCTTCATGACCAAAATCTAAAAGTGGTTGGAGTATTATAAATTTAGCAACTTTTTACAAATCAGCTTGCACAGACTATAAAATGGAACTCGCCAATGGGTTCAATTTGCTAGATTAATTTTAAAAAATAAATTACGTTTGTTCACCTTGGCATCTATCTTGATATGAACAACCTATCCTCATTAAGCCCAATATTTAATATTTTTGGTTGAACGTTTTAAATGATTTAATATTTAGAAAAGTATTTTAATATTTCAATATTTTGTCTTACATATAACCCACTGGCATTGGCAATGGTGTATTAATTAGTAATTCACTAATTAAATCTATCATTTGTAAAGCAGTATTTCTCAGAGCAATTTTCTTGAATGAAAATTTATCTGAAAATTATTTAACATCTGTTGGCAATATTTTCAAAATTATCCTGTACCCTAATGCATGCTTTCTTGGAGAACATGATGCACAATGATTTTTTTTTTTTTTTAAAACAAGAAGTTACTAAAATATCAAGTAAAAAAAAATAATCTATCCCTACTTTAGTGATCCTAAATTGCATGTTTGAGGAGCAATAAAAGCAGAGTCATTGCACTAATAAATGCAGGTCAATTCTTAATTTCTTTTAAACATGTTCATAAACTATGGAGTCAGAAGCTCTGACATATTGGGTTAGATGGATCATGTACAAAGCTAGTACTATAAGATACACTGATCAGCCACGACATTAAAACCACTGACGGGTAAAGTTGATAACATTGATTATATTGTTACAATGGGACATGTTAAGGATGTAATATGTTATGTAGAAATTCAGTTCTTGAATTTCATGTGGGAAAATGGGCAAGTGAAAAGATCTGAGTGATTTTGATAAGGACCAAATAGTGATGGCTAGACGACTTGCTTAGAGCAGCTCCAAAACTGTGTTGTGTGGTGTTCCTGGTGGTGCTCTTCAAAGCTTTACTTGTATGAGCATGTACAATCCCTGCTAATGGATTCTTGTGGGTTCCCTTTGGCCTTAATCAGCAGTCTGGGAGCTTGTATAAAAAAAATATAAAATATACAGATAGACTAATCTAGTGTAGTATATCTGGATAAAAATAGATAAGTAGTAAAATAGAAATGCACTCACATGGTATGGAACCTATAGGATAGCTCCTAAAATATAGTGTGGAGTGATATAATCCTGACTCTGGCATGCTGGTGAGCGATTTTCCTCTCCACATATAGGGTATGCAATAAAACACAAATAAGAAACATAGTGCACACTGTAATTATTCTTAGTGCAAATAGAAGGAAAATCATTTACAAGTGTGGAGCAAAATGGGTTTTGCTCAATACAAACAGTTTTGGTGGTATGTTCCCCATCAATGAAAACCCAGTATATGATGAATTGGAAGCAGGAGGGTCCAAAGTGTCTTAAAATAAATTAATCTTTATTCTAGCACTTTAAGCTAAAAAACAATAAAATATAGAGAAAAAAGTAACACTAACGCGTTTCACCAGTGTGGCTTTTTCAAACTGTTAAAGCACACTGGACCAACGCTCCTTATATAGGTACAATTCAGTTAGGATTGGTGGTCATGACCTAAGCTTAGAAGAGACAATAATACAATACCATGATTGAAACAGGCATTTACCAATTTAATATGAAAAAAAAACTTGTAGCACACCAATTGTTTCTATTTTATTATTAAAAACAAGTAAACATAAACTTATTATTATTACACTTGAGTTCCAATATGGTGACCAGTAACCCACCATACAAACAATACACTAGGTGTAGGAAGATGGTGCTAGTGCAGTCATATGATCATGACATCCTCATCACATGACCTGAACTTAGAAGATACAATAATACATTAGCACAATAAAAAAAAAAAAGAATATAAGTGAACCTAGAGAGCTGTATACAATAAAGAATACAAAAAAGAAAAATCTGAGGCTCAATAAAGGAGTGTAATATAAAATGGGGGAATAAATTAAAAATAGCCAATAATATATAATAATGCATTGATAATATAATAATGAATTCCTCCGTACTGCCCCCTTAGTTGAAATCATCAAAACTGACAATCTCAGGCAGCCCAACACTTTCCCAACGAAAGTTTGGAAAGGCTATTGCACATACACAGCAAAATGCTGTTCTGCGCCAATCAGCATCTCCTCAATGCATCTCTATAATCAATGCATCTCTATGAAGAATGTTCAGTGCCTCCATGCAGAGTTGTTAGCTAATTTTAATTTGTTACCCCTTTTTACATTTCACTTATATTTCAGTCTCTAATTTTAAACATCTCTTTAGGCTCCTTTATTAGAGCCCCAGATTTTTTTATTCTCTATTCTATAAACTGCCCCTCTATAGTTCAATATGTATGCACATCATTATATTAATACAAGGCTATTTTTAATATTTTTTATTTTCCCTATTTTTTTTATTATTCCCTTTTTTATGTAAATGTTATTGTTATACTTTTATAGTCTTTAAAAAAAAAAATCTTTATTTTTGCTCAAGTTGCATAGTAAACGAGTCATAGGCATTGTGCTGCCTGTGCGGGTACATAAGACAACAGCATAAAAATAACATTGGGAAGACATCTGCCGGCATATCAAAAAAATAAGTGCAACCTATAGTTTTTTGTTTTTGAAACAATGAAATAAACATTAGAATCGATTTATATGCAGATATATTTTCTTATGCACTGTAAAGGTATGAGAACCAATGCTGCATTCTACGTGTGCCATGGGCAATTCAAAAACAGATAGAAATATCTTGAAGGAAACAAGCACAGGCGGGGTTGTAATGGGGGATAGAATGACAGAGCACATACTATAAAGAATAGCCAATGTAGCCAGAGTAGGTAGAGAATGGGATAACATGGAAAAAAGAAGAACCACATGCAATATTCAGACTGGATTAAGCTGGATGGTCAGCGACTGATGTAAGCCACGGGATGTTCTCTGCCATCGGGACCGACTTGGCTCATTACTGCTCCCAATCCAAACATAGAAGCGTCTGTATGAACGAGAAAAGGTTTAGTTAGATTAGGAGCTGCCAAGACAGGGGCATTTACAATGCTTGCTTTAACTGATGGAATGCCTGTTCACACTCCGGGGCCCTGGCTACCTGTTGTGGAAGGTTCTTACAAGTCAGGTCAGTAAGGGACTTGGCCAGGGCACTGTTTTTGAGGACATTCTTCCTATAGTACCCCACTGTCCCTAAGAAGGCTAATCATGGGGGTATTCCACTGGGCCACTGCCTCAATCTTAGCAGGCTCAGGCTTCTGTTGCC